ATGGTTTGTATTAGGCATGACAATTGGAATGGCCTTAGCCATCGTAGCATCTTGATCTGTGAAAATAGTTTTTGGAGCTTTGTTGACATTGCCTCCAAAAAAATCTAAAACAACCATGTGAATGATTCGGTAGTCTTATCATACATCAATGCTGCATTGAATATAACTGTTTCTCGATGATGATTAAATCCAACAGAGGTTCCAAAAGGTCTATGCTCAGGTTTTGTTTCATCAAAAACCTGATTATCAGTTCTTGAGAACTTTTGGCTGCAGGTGTTATCCTTGGCTTAAACCTTACAACTCCCTTAAACTTCAGCTTAGATCTGTTCCATGTGTGTTTATACGGTATCAACCCTCTGTTAAAAGCTATAGATGCCTTGACCCAAGTACCAACAAGGTCTATGTATCTCGCCATGTTGTTTTTTGTGAGACCTTTTTAGTCTTCATCGTTCTCTTCTTCCGCATCAGCTTCCATCTTTCTCTACTTTATCTCATCTCACTACCTTACACAATTTTTTCTGGTCTACATCTCCTGTGCCTTCTCCTTTTTCTGCTCCAGTAGCACCCGTCTCCCCTACACCTGCTCCACTTGCGTCTGCAGCTTCTGCACTTGCTGCACCTGCATCTGCTGTCTCTCCTGGCTTACCTCCTGTTCCTTCACATGTCCCTATTTCTTCTTCTTCACCTCAAATTCCAATTTCTTCTCTTTTTATAGATCTTCCTCATATTTCCTCTTCAAATTCTCGTTCCATGGTAACCATATACAAGGCCAAACTTCCTCTTGTGTCTTCTTCTACTTGTTTGTTGGCTTCTACTGATCATGTTGAACCTCAGTCTTATCAGGAAGTATCTACTTCTCCTGCTTGGCAAGCTGCTATGGTTGATGAATATCAAGCCTTGCAAAGACAAGGTACTTGGTCTTTAGTTCCACCTCCACCCACCAAGCAAGACATTGGCTGCAAATGGGTGTTTAGACTTAAGAGAAACTCAGATGGCTCTGTAGCTAGGCATAAAGCAAGATTAGTTGCTCAGGGTTTTCTTCAAACTAAAAGGGTGGACTATCATGAAACCTTTAGTCCTGTAGCTAAACAACCTACAATTAGGGTGCTTCTATGTCTTGCTCTACATCATCATTGGTCTATTAAGCAACTTGACATTTCAAATGCCTTTCTTCATGGAATGCTTGAATAAGAAGTCTATATGCAGCAACCCCAAGGTTTCATTGATACTTCTAATCCATCTCTTGTTTGTAAACTTCACAAAACTCTCTATGGCTTGAAGCAAGCTCCAAGAGCTTGGTTCTCTACATTCTCCTCTTTTTTTCTATCTCATGACTTTATTCCTAGTTATTGTGATTCTTCTTTATTAGTCAAGAAAACTCCTACTTCCATTACCATTCTTCTTGCCTATGTTGATGATATTCTTCTCACCGGTAGTGATCCTCTTTATATCTCCACTCTTATTCAACAAATGCATTTTGCTTTCTCTATGAAAGAGTTCGGATTTCTCAATTATATCTCCACTCTTCTTCTTCTTCAGGCTATGTTTTGTCTCAGCAAAAGTATGCCTTAGAAATCTTAGCTAAGGCTGGTATGAGTAATTGTAAGTCCTATGCTTCTCCCATGGCTACTAAGGTTGCTAACTCTGTTGTTGATGATCCTCCTTTCTCTCAGCCTAGTCTTTACAGAAGTTTAGTGGGAGCTCGTCAATATCTAACCATCACTATGCCAGATCTTAGTTTTACTGTTAATCATCTTTGTCAATTTTTGTAAAATCCTTTGCAAAGTCATTTTACAACAGTTAAGAGACTTCTCAGATATCTCAATGTAACGTTGAGTCGTGGCCTTCATTTTACCAATGGTCCTCTTTTTCTTAATGCTTTCTCAGATTCGGATTGGGCTAAAATTGTTATTGATAGAAGATCTACTACAGGGCATTGTGTATTTCTTGCTCCCAATCTTGTTTCTTGGTGTGCTAAAAAGCAGCCCACAATTTCAAGATCATCCTCAGAAGCAGAATATAGAGGTTTAGCTCAAGTTTCTGCTGAGTGAAGCTGGCTTGGCATGCTTCTTGCTGAACTCCATACATCTGTTCCCACTCTCTAGTGTGTTAATTTGTCTGTCATAGCTTTGGCTCACAATCCAGTTTTTCATGCTAGGACCAAGCCCATTGAGGTTGACTATCATTATGTCAAAGAAAGAATGGCCGCCAAAAAGATTGTCATTTTTCATATTGCTTCTACTGATCAAATTGCAGATATTCTCACTAAACCTCTTTCAATCTCTAGGTTTCAGTATCTT